ATCCATCCATCTATCCATCCATCTATCCATCCATCCATCCATCCATCCATCTATCGGCTGTGTAAACTATCAAACAGCACCTCCAACCTGTGTCTCTCTCTCTCTTAGCTTGCAAGTCTGCCAACATTGACCTGGTTCTGTTGATTGATGGGTCCAAAAGTGTCCGACCTCAGAACTTTGAACTGGTGAAAAAGTTTGTGAACCAGGTGAGTGACGTCTCCATGACGACCACATGGCTGTCAATTTTCCAATGGTTTCCCCCCCCCCCCCTCAGCCTTATGCTGGAACAGAACAACTCTGTGGTCTGTGATTTCCTGGATATGGTCCATATTTTGGATACCACGTGTGTGGACCAAACATCTGTCTTTGTTGTTAATAGTGAAAAAAAAGTATTTACAGATAACATTTTCCTCCTTCTCTTCCTCTTGTTCCTTAGGTTGTAGATTCTTTGGATGTGTCTCCCCATGGAACCAGAGTGGGTCTGGTCCAGTACTCCAGTCGAGTCAGGACAGAGTTCCCGCTCAGCATGTATCATTCTGCTGATGAGATCAAAGCGGCTGTCATGAAGGTACATCTTCTGGTATTCATTGTCCTGCACCAAAGTCCATAGAGGAAACCAGAGATTCTAGCTCAGACCAAAGTCCATTGATTTTATAGAGAAAATCAGTGACTTTAGCTCAGACCAAAGTCCATAGAGAAAATCAGTGATTTTAGCTCACAGACCAAAGTCCATAGAGAAAATTAGTGATTTTAGCTCAGACCAAAGTCCATAGAGAAATTTAGTGATTTTAGCTCAGACCAAAGTCCATAGAGAAAAATCAATGATTTTAGCTCACAGACCAAAGTCCATAAAGAAAAAACAATGATTTTAACTCACAGACCAAAGCCCATAGAAAAAAAATCAATGATTTTAGCTCAGACCAAAGTCCATAGAGAAAAATCAATGATTTTAGCTCACAGACCAAAGTCCATAGAAAAAAAATCAATGATTTTAGCTCAGACCAAAGTCCATAGAGAAAAATCAATGATTTTAACTCACAGACCAAAGCACACACACACACACACCCACCCATTCCCGTAAACAGACGACATTCATGTGTTTCCCTGACTCACCTCTCAGACCAAAGTCCATAGAAAAAAAAACAATGATTTTAGCTCAGACCGAAGTCCATAGAGAAAATCAGTGATTTTAGCTCACAGACCAAAGTCCATAGAGAAAATCAGTGATTTTAGCTCACAGACCAAAGTCCATAGAGAAAATCAGTGATTTTAGCTCACAGACCAAAGTCCATAGAGAAAATCAGTGATTTTAGCTCACAGACCAAAGTCCATAGAGAAAATCAGTGATTTTAGCTCACAGACCAAAGTCCATAGAGAAAATCAGTGATTTTAGCTCACAGACCAAAGTCCATAGAGAAAATCAGTGATTTTAGCTCACAGACCAAAGTCCATAGAGAAAATCAGTGATTTTAGCTCACAGACCAAAGTCCATAGAGAAAATCTGTGATTTTAGCTCACAGACCAAAGTCCATAGAGAAAATCAGTGATTTTAGCTCACAGACCAAAGTCTATAGAGAAAATCAGTGATTTTAGCTCACAGACCAAAGTCCATAGAGAAAATCAGTGATTTTAGCTCACAGACCAAAGTCCATAGAGAAAATCAGTGATTTTAGCTCACAGACCAATGTCCATTGAAAAAATCTGCAATATTAATTCACTACTCCTGGTTCACTACTGTCCCCTTATGCACGTATTCGAATTTAGTGATGGGGGGTAGCAGTAGGTCAACAACTGCTGAGCTCTTAAATCAATCATTTCCTCCATGATGTTTTGTGTGAGAGTTCGTGGTGTACATACTTTCTCACCGCAGTCTAAAGAACATCCTCTGTTCCCATCTAAGGTTGAGTACATGGAGAAGGGAACCATGACAGGCCTGGCTCTGAAACACATGCTGGAGAACAGTTTCTCTGAGGCAGAAGGAGCTCGTCCTGCTAATCGTAACATCCCCAGAATTGGACTGGTCTTCACAGACGGACGTTCTCAGGACGACATCACTGAGTTCGCCAAGATGGCCAAGGAGGCTGGTGAGGCAGACTGACATTTTTAACACTGTAGATTACTCTTTGTCAGGCTAAACTTTCACTGTGTCATGCTAACCTTTGACTGTGTCAGGCTAACTTTCAATTGGATTAGGCCAGGTTCAATGGCCTAATCCAATTGGGCCAGGTCCAATTATGGACTCACGGCCCATAATTGTCCTAAAATTGAACAGGGAGTTCAGGTCAGGAGCAAATAGATGGAGAGTTCGTGTGAACTAAGATAAATGACATGTAAAAGTCATGCATAAAAGCTAAAATGCTGTTTAAAAATTTCTACGCCATCTATTGGGGAAACGTGGGTATTGCAAGGGAAAGGCAGAAGTATAATGATAATATAAATAAATTATATAATTTGGAAAGGTTTGCCAGGCCAATTAAAAAACTGAACGGGCCACATCCGGCCCCTGGGCCTCAGGGGTTGCCAGGTAACCTTGCATGCTAACCTAACCCAGGTTAGCATGCCTGGGTTAGCCTAAGTTTGTAGTACTAACTAGACTAACTTTTGCTCGTCTTCCAGGTCTTTGTTTGACACTTTGTCCTTTGTTTAACTTACATCAATTCATCGACTTTTTTTTTTTTTTACATTTTCTTTACTCATCCCTCATAACTGGATCCAACCCAGGTCCAGGGTCTGTCCCTGGTCAGTGCTTTCAGACTGTGTTTTTTTGCTGCGTTGTCCAGGAATCACCATGTACGCTGTAGGTGTTGGTAAAGCCGTGGAGGACGAGCTTCGTGAGATTGCATCAGAACCTGTGGAGAAACATTTCTACTACACCACTGACTTTTCAGCCATCAGTACCATCGCTGAGAACCTGAAACTCAACGTGTGTCCAGGTACCGGCCCAACACCAGGACTTGAACCCAGACCCAAGAACAGTTACAAAATCCAGATCTATATCACAAATTAATACACAAATTAACTTACAGTTAACAGATAAAAAAAGACTAAACTTGATTTGAGTCTTGACTGAAAAACACAGTGAATCTGAAATCTTTTATTTTTAAAAGAAAATGGGTGCTGTTATTTTTGGTGCTCTGGGTCCATCTAGTGGTGACAGACGAACGTTACATTTTATTTTTGTTATTGAAATGATCATATACTGTATATTATACTGTATATTGTATATATATACAGTATATATATATTTTTATAATTTAGGTTTGCTTTCTTTATTTTTTTAGCATAGCTTTTTTTTAAAAAATACTTCTGTATGTTTTTTTTAAATGGCTGCCTTTATTACACTTCCACCTGTTTTTTGTGGAACTTGTTTTATTGTTATTATTCCTTTTTGTTTTGCCATGAATTTTTTTTTTCATTACAAATATTCTATTTTGTAGGTACTTTGAAATTTTAATGATTTTCCTTGTTCTTTTCTCCGTTCTCTCAGAGGAGAGTCAGGGTGAGATCGAGGTCAAAGACCCCTGCTCCTGTGAGAACCTGGTGGAGTTTCAGCAGGTCACCATGAACAGCCTGGAGCAGCTGACCACCAGAAATATCCTTCCCCAATCAGTCAGAATCAGTCTCTGTTGATGATTAACTAACACAGTTTTCAGTGTCAATTTGTACTTTTTCTTGAAACTTTTTTGCTGTTGAGTAAAGGTTTGTGTGTTTATTTGTTTCTATTTAACGCTAGTTCTTCGTAATAAGCAGTTGATTTCTAACGTTTAGCTTTTGTTGCTCAGTCTGTCTTTCACATGTGAGTTGATCCTCACACCTTTCAACACCAGACATCAACGACTACTGTCTTTGTTTTCCTTAACTCACCTGCACTGCTGGGACTCACAGCTCGTCTGGAGCAGCTGGAGAATCAACTGCTTTCCAGGAAGTGATGTGGGAATCACATGACCAGACAGGAAGAGGAAAAAGAAGGCCATTCCTGGAAAAAAAAAACATTGATAAGAGGGAAAAATACAGACATTTTTATGTAGATGTTTTGAATCTCCAGCTGAGCTGTTGGTTTTTAAAGGAATAGTTCAAGTTTTCTAAAGTGTGTGTTTTTTCGACACTGACTTTGTCGTGAGCGCCCCTTCTGTTAGAATGCGGAATTCAGCTTGTTATAAAAAAAATAAAGATTATAAAAAATAAAAGAGCTAAAACATCTGACTCAGTTGAAGTTAACTTTGACTGAATCATCATTAAGTTTTTCTTGGTGCCTGAGATTTCTTTTTTTTTTGTGACGGAATAGCAAATAGTCAGCATAGCCAGAAGGGGGCGCACACAGCTAAGTCAGCAGTTAAACACCTCACATACTGCATGTGTCTAAACCAGGGGTGTCAATATACAGCCTGATAAGATGTCAAGTGGGCCGGACCAGTACAATCATATACATAATCACCTATAAATAACAATAAGTCCATGTTTTTTCCCCCCTTTGTTTTCATGTAAATAGGTACAAGTTTATTGGGAAAATATTAATATTTAATGAAATATAATTTGACAAAACATCATGAACATGAAGTTTGAAACCAGATTGGGCCAGATTGAAACCGCCCCGCGGGCCAGTTTTGACACCCCTGGTCTATACCAACAAAGCAAATTTAGACAGAACCCCCGCGTTCGTATTTCTGTAGTCAGTTCCTGTAGATATTAGATACAACTGTTTCCGAACCGACATCAGTGTTTCCAACGCAGACTACAATGAACTGTTTTTTTTTTATATATATATATATTTATACTGTTTTATACTGACTGGTTTGTATTTATATAACACTTGTCTTTTGTACCAACAGTAATATGTGAAATAAAGATGCGGAAGTTTTTCTCCTCCTTAACAGTGTAACTTCCTTCTCTGACCAGTAGGGGCAACTAGATACGTTGTTTGACGTGAACCTTGTAAACTGGGTCAGAATATTTTTTCACAGATAAATAAAAGTTTAAGTGGCTACTTACTGCTTTACTTTTTTTTAATGTCAATACATTTAAGCCTCGCCCCCCCCCTTTACTGCTTTTTGTTATAGTTTATAGGACCCTGGTGGCTCGGGGGATAAGGAGGCGTACCTGGGTCGGGAAGGTTTCAGGAAAATCTTTGACTTGATCTTGATTTACCACGTCTATACGCACAAGTATTGGCTGCATTTACTGTCAGTCTTTGCACACTCTGTTTTTTTAAATTGTGATCAAACAATTTATCCGCTTCAAACATCTAGGCCAGGCATGGGCAAAATAAGGCCTGGGGCCCGGATGCAGCCCGTTCAGCGTTTTAATCCGGCCTGCCAAACTTTTCCAAATTATCCATCCATCCATCAATCATCAACCGCTAATCCGGGGCCAGGTCAGTCTGAGCAGGGACACCCAGACTTCCCTCTCCCTCGACACTTCCTCCATCTCTTCTGGGGGGACCCCGAGGCGTTCCCAGGCCAGCCGAGCGACATAGTCGCTCCAGCGTGTCCTAGGTCTACCTCTAGGTCTCCTCCCAGAGGGACGGCACCCGAGCACCTCCCGAGGGAGGCGTCCGGGGGGGGGGGCATGCGATGTAAATGCCCAAGCCACCTCAGCTGACCCCTCTCGATGTGGAGGAGCAGCGGCTCTACTTCGAGCTCCTCCCGTGGGACAGAGCTCCTCACCCTATCTCTAAGGGAGCGCCGCGCCACCCTGCGGAGAAAGCTCATTTCAGCCGCTTGTATCCGGGATCTCGTTCTTTCGGTCATGACCCAGAGCTCATGACCGCAGATGAGGGTAGGAACGTAGATCGACCGGGTAAATCGAGAGCTTCGCCTTTCGGCTCAGCTCCTTCTTCACCACAACGGCCCGATCCGCCTGTCCATCTCACGTTATTCTTCTTCTCACCATCTCAATTTATATTTCATTATACTTCTGCCCTTTTCCTGCAATACCCAAGTTTCCCCAATAGATGGCGTCGAATATGATTAAAGCATTCTAGCCTTTATGCGTGACTTTTACATGTCATTTATCTTAGCTTCATCTATCTGCTCCTGACCCGGCCCCCACTGTTCAATTTTAAGACAATTGTGGCCCGCGAGTCAAAACGTTTGCCCACGCCTGGTCTAGGCAGTAGTGCCTACTGTAGCATGCTAGCAGCGTTTCATTTGGAAAGCTAACAAGCACCCAATTAGCAGAAATGATAGGACTGTACAAGTACACTGTGCACCAGCTGCATCTTAGTAACGTGCTACAACCGTATGCGGTGTTCTTCTTTGTGGGTCAGTCTTTGGCTAAGCTAACATCGCTAAATACCTCTCTTCTTCTCTGGTCTTTAAGTGTTTCTATTTGTTTCTATTTAACGTTCGTTCTTCGTAATATGCAGTTGATTTCTAACGTTTAGCTTTTGTTGCTCAGTCTGTCTTTCACATGAGTTGATCCTCACACCTTTCAACACCAGACATCAACGACTACTGTCTTTGTTTTCCTTAACTCACCTGCACTGCTGGGACTCACAGCTCGTCTGGAGCAGCTGGAGAATCAACTGCTTTCCAGGAAGTGATGTGGGAATCACATGACCAGACAGGAAGAGGAAAGGAAAAAGAAGGCCATTCCTAAAAAAAAAACATTGATAAGAGGGAAAAATACAGACATTTTTATGTAGATGTTTTGAATCTCCAGCTGAGCTGTTGGTTTTTAAAGGAATAGTTCAAGTTTTCTAAAGTGTGTGTTTTTTCGACACTGACTTTGTCGTGAGCGCCCCTTCTGTTAGAATGCGGAATTCAGCTTGTTATAAAAAAAATAAAGATTATAAAAAATAAAAGAGCTAAAACATCTGACTCAGTTGAAGTTAACTTAATGACTGAATCATTTGACAAGCTTTGACAAGTTCTTCTTGGGGCCTGATATATTTTTTTTTGTGACGGAATAACAAATAGTCAGCATAGCCAGAAGGGGGCGCACACAGCTAGTGTCAGCAATTAAACACCTCACATGCTACATACTTCTTTGTGGGTCAGTCTTTGGCTAAGCTAACGTTGCTAAATACCTCCCTTCTTCTCTGGTCCTGAAGTCTTTAGGTGTCTCACTTATTTTCTGCCATGCCGCCGTCCCCCGTCCCCCGTCCCAGGGAACGTAAGTGTTTTTTACCTGGGGAGAAGCACTGCATTACTGCCACCTACTGGTTCTTCTTCTCTGTCTTCTACTGTGGATGATGTCCTGTCCACTGTCCTCAGAAAAAAAAAAAACAAAGGACAGAACAGCTTCAGTCAGATTCTGAAAAATCAACGTTTTCCATCTCTCCCTGTTCTTCTGTATCTTCTACTCTGACTCCAACTATCTCCATGTCCTCCATCACTACATCCATACATCTCCTCTTTGGCCTTCCTCCTACCTGGTAGCTCCATCTCTAACATTCTTCTACCCAGTAACCCACTGCTCCATCAAATATGGAATGATATTTCATTATTATTAATATAATAATATTATATAATAATATTAAATCAGCCATTTAATGGAGCAGATAATAATATGATAATATAATATTAAATATTACACAATTACAGTGGCCCTACCAGACCAGTTGTCGTGTTTTTGTACAACAGTTTTCAGAGAAAACTTTGACCCAAAATGTAGAAGCAGAAAAGGTTCTGGTTGGTGCAGACACAAAAAGACCTAATAATGACCCTGGTAAGTACCAAGGTTTTATTTTTCCTAATTTTATTCCAGGAACAAAGCTCACCTGATATTAATGGACGTCTGTGTTGTAGAAAATGTTAAAAGTTATATATATATAAAGTATCTCTAGTAAATTAGATAATAAATTAGACCATTCTTTTCACTTCTAGACAAACAGAATTAACCTCAACTAACTTTTATTCCCCTGAGCTTTTTCCATCCTCTTTCCTCCTGTGATGATGTCAAAGGTCACTGTGTTGTTCCGATGTTTGTTTTCTTGCTATAAAGGTCAAAACCGCCACAGGGGGGAAAATGATCCTCCCGCTGAAGTCTCTGTGGTACTGCCGTTAAAGATCACTTCCACAGGGAGTCACTTCCTGTTTTCAGTCTCCAGCGTCGTCATTGACGATGACCTTTGACAGGTTCCCTCTGCAGACTATGATGAAAGAACCTGTTTGTTCCAGAACTTTCTACACTTTTGCCCGAGTCTTAATGACAACTCTGTTTTCAGATGGACATTTGGAAGAAATGTGAGAACAAAAAAAAAACAAACATTGCCTCCAAAAATAAAGTGTTTAAAAAAACAAACAAAAAAAAAACACTGACCTGTCCTTAAGTCTAAGGCAAATACAGACTTAAATGTTTACTAAATAAAAATCTTCATAATAATCAATCAATATGATATCATATTGTATTGATTATACTGGACTTATTATTCAAATCTTGAAACGCTGGTGAAAACGCAAAACTTTAGTTTTAATGACATTTGGTGTTTAAATATAAAAAAAATATATACTTTAGTGTAAACATTCAAATTTGTGTATTTGTGTGTGGCCAAGTGACTTGAAATGTAATTAGTCATTTGTACAAATCATTTCTATTATGCATATAACCTGACATTGGTGTTGGTTGGATTCATCCAGTATAATGAACAAAACTGAAAAAAAAAATCATAATATAATTTTTTTTTTTTTTTTTAGAAAGATGTTTTTATAGTGGCGCTTTGGCCCAGAGGCAATGTCTCTGTCATTGGTGTGGAACCCCAGGGTTCACCTCCTGGGCAAGTTCAAATCCCGGTTAGAACACTTAGTACCTTCCAGTGGACTCACCACCCGCAGGAAGGTGGTTGGTACGGTGCAGTGTGATTTGGGTGGCAGCTGCTGCCCCCGCGACCGCGTAACGGATAAGCGGATGAAAATATAAAAAATGGATAAATGGATGGAAGTGACATATCCAACCAGAACACAGAGGACAAAAATGAACGTGTTAAATTACATCAGGGGTGTCAAACTCATTTTCACCAGGGGGCCACATCAGCAATACAGTTCCTGTTGAAGGGCCGGTTTTAAATAGAACACTATAGATCAGGGGTCCCCAACCCCTGGTTCGTGGACCAATACCAGTCCATAGGTCCTTTGGTACCAGCTCGCAGTGGGACACAGTGGAAAATTAAAAAAAATTCTAATTAACTTCCATTTACTTTCTTTATTTGACGATAATCTTGCAATATTTTAAAATAAAAGTCATTCAGACTAGAGTCTGGTATAGATGTAGCTCCTCCATAACAGACTAAAACATGTATCTGCAATTGATTATTATTTATTCAAGCTACAAATATTGTTCATTGCTGTGTTTAATTTCATAGGTTGATAAACTCTGCTGCATGGACTTTATGAAATGCTTTTTAAGCTCCCGCGGGCCACACAAAATGGCTTGGCGGGCCACATTTGGCCCCCGGGCCTTGAGTTTGACACGTATGAATTACATGGATGAAGGAGAAATAATGAAGTAGGAACCAGTTTTATTAACCTAAAGATTAATAGTAGATTACTACCAGCTCTACAGCGCCCCCCCCTTCCTCCTTCTCCTCTGTTTCAGCAGCTGACTGAAGCCAGGAAGCTGTATTCTCTGAAACTGCCAATAAGGGGTGACATGATTAGTTTAAAAACGAACTAACTAACTAACTTTTCTGTGTCAAACGCAATAGAAAAGTTCAGGAAGAAGAGAAAGTTTGTAAAAGACTGAAGTTGTGATGAAATACTCTCATGTGTGTGTAAGAGGGAGAGAGAGAGAGAGAAAGAGAGTGAGAGTGTGTCTGCTGAGGGTTAATGACTCAAAGGTTTCCACTGAGACCGAATCTGTTTTTGTTTTTTTTTTAATTTAGAACAAAATACATTTGAACTCGGAGGGAAGCAAGAAAACACAAGTCTCCGGAGACCCGACTAATGAATCCCTGTGTTTGTGCTCTCGTTTGTGTGTGTGTGTTAAAATAAATAAAAAATCTCAGAGGAATAAAAAACTTTTGATGAAGTTCCCGGACAGAAAAACAACAAAGTGAACTAATCCTGGAGACCAAGGACCAAAGACCAAAGACTGAGGACCAAAGAATAAAGACAAAGTACCAAAGACTAAAGACCAAGTACCAAAGACTAAAGACAAAGTACCAAAGACCAAAGACTAAAGACCAAGTACCAAAGACTAAAGACAAAGTACCAAAGACCAAAGACTAAAGACCAAGTACCAAAGACTAAAGACAAAGTACCAAAGACCAAAGACTAAAGACCAAGTACCAAAGACTAAAGACAAAGTACCAAAGACCAAAGACTAAAGACCAAGTACCAAAGACTAAAGACAAAGTACCAAAGACCAAAGACTAAAGACCAAGTACCAAAGACTAAAGACAAAGTACCAAAGACCAAAGACTAAAGACCAAGTACCAAAGACTAAAGACAAAGTACCAAAGACCAAAGACTAAAGACCAAGTACCAAAGACTAAAGACAAAGTACCAAAGACCAAAGACTAAAGACCAAGTACCAAAGACTAAAGACAAAGTACCAAAGACCAAAGACTAAAGACCAAGTACCAAAGACTAAAGACAAAGTACCAAAGACCAAAGACTAAAGACCAAGTACCAAAGACTAAAGACAAAGTACCAAAGACCAAAGACAGAAGGAGGGGGACGTTCCATTTAATGGTGCTTTTCCACCGTTCAGACCCGACTAAAGACAAAGTACCAAAGACAAAAGACTCAAGACAAAGTACCAAAGACTAAAGACAAAGTACCAAAGACCAAGTACCAAAGACTAAAGACCAAGTACCAAAGACTAAAGACAAAGTACCAAAGACTAAAGACCAAGTACCAAAGACTAAAGACAAAGTACCAAAGACTAAAGACCAAGTACCAAAGACTAAAGACAAAGTACCAAAGACCAAAGACCAGGGACCAAGGACCAAAGACTAAGAACCAAGGACCTAGGACCACACACTACAGACAAAGGACCTCAGTCCACAGACAATGGTGCACTGACCAAATACTACAGTCCATGCAATACAAACTACAGACCATACAATGTAGTCCACAGAATACAGTCTACAGACAAAAATGGACATGGACGTGGAGTGGACATGAAGGGTGGACACAGACATGTGGTTTGCTGAAATATCTGTATTTAAAATTTAAAATAAAATGCGAAAAGGGCAAAGAAGGATGGATCTGAAAAATGATCTGTGGCTTTGAAACTTGAAACTGAAGATGACGACATGACGAATGTATGTAGGAACGGACAGCACAGAGAAACAGGACAGAAAAGACAAGCGTGACACGCACAGACAGACACACACGCACACACTGCCACACCTGACCATATAAAAGAGTGAAGTCGTCACAGGTTTCATCTTGGATTTGAACAGAGGCTGGACTTTTGGTTTTGGATAAAGACCTCTACACTACAGCTTCACATCTCAGTCAAATCGGTACAGAACTGTTTCAGAGTAAACGTCGTTTTATACAACTATTATTATTATATTTGAATTGTTTTTGCTTTAACATTGATTTATTTCTAATTTCATTTCCAGGTGAAATATCTGCTCCTCAGACTCAGGTAAAAAAGTATAATTTTCTGTAAAAGTTCCACCTGGTTTAAAAATACTATTGCGATTGTTGCTTTAAATGTAACGCATTCCTTTTCTCTTCTGAATTCAGACATGAACTCGTCGTCTTGGTCTAACCTGACGGTGGTGGTGGAGTACAGAGACTCTTTCACCAAAGCCCTGACAAAGAATGTGATGGTGGTTGTTCTCAGCATCTCCATCAACTACATCAACATTGGTCTCATACACACCTTCTGCAAACATCAGGTGGATGGACATATGTAAAGACGCTGAACGTGACGTAATGACATGCAAAAGGAACTCAGTGTATTACAACACTATAATGAAACATGAGCAACTGCTGAGTCTCTGTCAACTAAATCACTGATTTTCTCTATGGACTTTGGTCTGTGAACTAAAATCAGTGATTTTCTCTATGGACTTTGGTCTGAGCTAAAATCACTGATTTTCTCTATGGACTTTGGTCTGAGCTAAAATCACTGATTTTCTCTATGGACTTTGGTCTGCTAGCTAATATTGCGGATTTTCTCTATGGACTTCTTCTGAGCTAAAATCAATAAATTATTCTGTGGACTTTGGTTTGTTAGCTAAAATCACTCATTTTATCTTCAGATTTTGGTTTGAGCTAAAACCACTGATTTCCTCAATGGATCTTGGTCTTAGCTAAAATCATTGTCGCAAATGAGTTGTTGCATAGAACAAAAGACTTGTCCTAATCCTAAACCTTAAACTGACGAAGATCGTGGTGACAGCTGAACTATATTCCAAGTTCTTGTCCTGTGGTTTTGCGTTTATGTACGAAACTCATACAGGTCTTGATCCGGGTCAGACTCTATACCCTATCGTTGACCTGACCGTGTGGCCCACATGAACCTGTCTGATCTGGTCCACAGACTTCCTCCAAGGTCCTAATCCTTTCACATGTTGATTTTCTGTTAATTTTGTTTCTCCAGGTCTTCTACACAAACCCTCGCTACATCCTCTTTATCCACCTAGTGGTGAATGACATGATCCAAGTGACGCTGTCCGTGATCCTGTTCGTCATCAGCTACGTCATCTACAGACTCCAGGTCCACGTCTGCTGCGTCCTGATCCTGATCGCCCTCTTCACCACGGAGAACACTCCTCTGAACCTGGCCTGCATGGCCGTGGAGTGTTACATCGCCGTCTGCTTCCCCCTCCGTCATGTCCACATCTGCACCGTCAGGAGAACCTGGTTTCTGATTGGTCTGATCTGGACGACCAGCATGCTGTCGGTTCTTCCGGACCTCTTCATCACTTTAGCCTTGGAGCCCGTGGACTTCTTCTTCACCCGGGTCTTCTGTCTGAGGGAAACGGCCTTCAGGAATCCTGCGATCATCCAGAAGAGGGACATTACTTACATCATCTACTTGGTCATTGTCTGGTTCATCATCTTCTTCACCTATTTCAAGATCCTGTTCACCGCCAAGACGGCAAGTGGAGACGCTAAAAAAGCCAGAGACACAATAGTCCTACACGGGTTTCAGGTTCTTCTGTGCATGGCCACATATGCAGAACCATTGCTGAAACATACACTGTGGCTCTATTTCCCCAGGAACTACACCGATTCCCTTTTTGCCATGTACATCATCGTTCAGATCCTGCCACGCTCAATTAGTCCAATCATCTACGGCATACGGGACAGAACCTTCAGGAGTTACCTGAAACAGTGCCTGCTGTGCAAATTCGGTCAAACGGAACATCTTTCTCTTTAGACCATCTAGGGTTCCTTAGAACTTCGAGCAACCAAGCTGCAAGAAGATACATAGTTAGATATTAACAAGGACTATTTTAAAGGCCATGGGTGGGTCTGTGAAACCTTAATTAGTCCATAGTTCTAAGTCTTTGGAAATTGTTTTCTTGTATTATTGTATTGTACTATTGTTCCTACAAAGCAAACACTCTTAGTTCCTGGTAGTTTCCCTAGTTCCTGGCTTGCAGAGAAACATGGCCCACAGTTGTATCCCTCTACCCTACTGAGCTTTCTAGTTCTAGTTCACATGAGCCACAGTGGGAATGTAAAAGTTCCTGGTTGTGATTCAACTTCCTTTGGTGCAAACCTAAAAAGCATGTGGTCCTGTCCGTGTTACCTGGACTACACCGGTAACATACAGTAAGAGCCTACGTGAGAACTTTAAAAGGACCAACCTGCATACAGTACATGACCCTACGGCAGTGCCAACATCTACAAAGCCAAGGTCAGAGCATCATGGGAAATCTCATCCTGCCAGGATGAATCTTCACCAACTGTAAGCCAGTTCGATAAGGTCCTGGAAGAGCCGTCAAAGATCATGGGTGAGGACCAGGACACCCAGTGTAGGACTTTGAGACAATGAGTCAAACCCAGAACATAAATTAGGTCTGAACCAGCGGTCACATGCAGCGGTGAAAGAGACATTATCTGGTCTCCAGGTGTCCAGAAGGCAGGCCTCCTGACTGTGATAGTGTGACCACGCTGATGACGTGGATACACTGTCTTGATCTCACACACTTTTGGGCCAGGACCAATTTGTTAATGGGTCTTAGCTGTGGTGGTGCTCTGAGCACCCCCTGCTGGATCACATGGTAAATTGTAATAAAATACAATAATAAACGACTGTCCAGCAGCAGTATCCGCTTTTTCAATGTATCCATCCATCCATCCATCCATCCATTTTCATCCGCTTATCCGTTACCAGGTCAGCAGTGTCCACGACCGCCACCCAAATCACACTGCACCGTACCAACCCCCCTAAACCTTCCTGCGGGTGGTGAGACCCTGGAAGGTACCAACCACCCTAATTGGGATTTGAACTTACCCAGGAGGTAAACCCTGGGGTTCCACACCAATGACAGAGACATTGCCTCTGGGCCAAAGTTCCACCCGCGTATTCATTTGAAAGTTAGAATCTGACCTGAACCGAGGAGAATTAAACATGTTTGTTTGTTTTAGATGACGTTACAGTCACAACAGTGTCATCGTCCAGGGAATTATGGGATATATGAAGA